AATGGATCATTTCGAGAGAATGATTTTCTCTCGAAAGAAGTGAGTGGGAGGAAAGTAGAACTTGATGAGGTAACTGTACCATCTCTAGAATTGGAAAGTAGTTCATCAGAGAAATATGTTCCTGTGATGCCTACACAAACTAGAGGGGAAGTTAATGATGATGATCATGAAACTTTGGATCAAGTTACTACAGAACTTCGTAGGTCAACCAGAGCACGATCCGCACCAGAGTGGTACAGTAATCTTGTACTTGAAGTCATGTTACTAGACCATGATGAACTTACGAACTATGAGGAACCGATGATGAGCCCAGATTCCGACAGATGGCTTGAGGCCATGAAATCAGAGATAGAATCCATGTATGAGAACAAAGTGTGGACTTTGGTGAACTTGCCCGATGACCGGCAAGCCATTGAGAATAAATGGATCTTCAAGAGGAAGACAGACGCTGATAGTAGTGTTACTATCTACAAAGCTCGACTTGTCAAAAGAGTTTTTTGATAAATTCAAGATGTTGACTACGATTAAAGTCTGTCCGAATCATGTTAGCAATTGCCACATTTTATGAAATCTGGCAAATGGATGTTAAAACTACATTCCTTAATGGTTTTCTTAAAGAAGAGTTGTATATGATGCAACAAGAAGGTTTTGTCAATCCTAAAGGTGCTAACAAAATGTGCAAGCTCCAGCGATCCATCTATGGACTGGTGCAAGCATCTCGGAGTTGGAATATACGCTCTGATAAGTTGATCAAAGCATATAGTTTTATACAGACTTGCGGTGAAGCTTGTATTTACAAGAAAGTGAGTGGGAGCACTACAACCTTTCTGATAAGTATATGTGAATGACATATTGTTGATCGGAAATGATGTAGAATTTTTTGGAAAGCATAAAGGAGTGTTTGAAAGGAGTTTTTCAAAGAAAGACCTCGGTGAAGCTGCTTACATATTGGGCATCAAGATCTATAGAGATAGATCAAGACACTTGATAATATTTTTCAATGATTACATACCTTGACAAGATTTTTGAAGTAGTTTAAAATGGAACAGTTAAAGAAGAAGTTCTTGCCTGTATTGCAAGGTGTAAAGTTGAGTAAGACTCAAAACACGACCATGGCATAAAATAGAAAGAGAATGAAAGTCATTCCCTATGCCTCAGCCATAGTTTCTATAAAGTATGCTATGTAGTGTACCAAACCTATTGTGTACCTTGCCATGAGTTTGGGAAGGGGGTACAATATTGATCCAGGAGTGGATCACTTGACAATAGTCAAAATTATCCTTAGAAGACTGAGGAGATATTTCTCGGTTATGGAGGTGATAAAGAGCTCGTCGTAAAGAGTTACGCCGATGCAAGCTTTTACACCGATCTGGATGACTCTAAGTATCAATATGGATACATATTTAAAGTGAGAGCAATTAGCTAGAGTAGCTCCATGCAGAGCATTATGGACATAGAAAATTTGCAAAATACATACGGCTCTGAATGTGACAAACCCTTTGACTAAGCTTCTCTCACAAGCAAAACATGATCACACCTTAGTATTGTTGGGGTGTTAATCACATAGCGATGTGAACTAGATTATTGACTCTAGTAAAACCCTTTGGGTATTAGTCACATGGCGATGTGAACTAATCACATGGTGATGTGAACTATTGGTGTTGAATCACATGGCGATGTGAACTAGATTATTGACTCTAGTGCAAGTGGGAGACTGAAGGAAATATGCCCTAGAGGCAATAATAAAGTTGTTATTTATATTTCCTTATATCATGATAAATGTTTATTATGCATGCTATAATGTATTAACCAGAAACTCAGTACATGTGTGAATACATAGACAAAACAGAGTGTCCCTAATATGCCTCTACTTGACTAGCTCGTTAATCAAAGATGGTTATGTTTCCGGACCATAGACATGTGTTCTCATTTGATGAACGAGATCACATCATTAGAGAATGATGTAATGGACAAGACCCATCCGTTAGCTTAGCACTATGATCGTTTAGTTTATTGATATTGCTTTCTTCATGACTTATACATGTTGCTATGACTATGAGATTATGCAACTCCCAAATACCGGATGAACACCTTGTGTGCTATCAAACATCACAACGTAACTGGGTATTATAAAGATGCTCTACAGGTGTCTCCGATGGTGTTTGTTGAGTTCGCATAGATCGAGATTAGGATTTGTCATTCAGTGTATCGGAGAGGTATCTCTGGGCCCTCTCGGTAATGCACATC